CATCCTAAGGGCACACACACAGCAGTAAACACACACACCGTGAACACACACCCGGAGCAGTGGGCAGCCATTTATGCTGCGGCGCCCGGGGAGCAGTTGGGGGTTCGGTGCCTTGCTCAAGGGCACCTCAGTCGTGGTATTGAAGGTGGAAGAGAGCGCTGTACATTCACTCCATCCACCTACAATCCCTGCCGGTACGAGACTCGAACCCGCCACTCTCTAACCATTAGGCCACGACTTCCCAACCATGCTCAGTCATGGAATGTATTGAGGGTAGAAGGGAGCGCTAGTTATTCACTCCACCCACCAACAATTCCTGCCGGACATGAGACTCAAACCCACAGCCTTCGGGTTACAAGTCCGACTCTTTAACCATTAGGTCACGACTGCCCCGACTGTGAGAACAGTTATGCTGCATTCACGCCATATCGTAATTGCTGTGATTTCGAGATGACAACATGTGATGTTCTACTTGGATCAGTTCACACCCTTGGGCTCATACCCGGAAATATCAATGCCTAAGTATAACGCTTAATGAATCTGAGGTGGTCAGGTAGAACAAGTCGTAGCTTTCAGAGTGGTCAATAGAGTGGTTGCCTACATTCCACGAGCTGTTGTTTTGGCAAACTGTCTTCAATAAGCTACTAACAAGAAAGTTTTGAGTTATGAAACTCACAGGATGTTTTTATAGTAAAATGACCTCTTATATGTCCAAATATCAAGGGAATTTTGGTTTCTCAGTTCATGACCCCTTTAAATCTGTCAAAATGACAACATTTTGATTATCCTTCAATGTATTACTATTTGGAAATGAGAGAAAACTTTGAATTAATGCTAACTATGATTAAAATGCCTTATACTGTGTTAGCTTATTTATGTTGCTCAATCCTACCAACAACATGCTGCAAGAAGAGAATACAAACCCTATAACTGGCCTGAAATTGTATCTTCAGCTGTCAAATGCATCGCAGTGAAAAATAATTCTGAGTGGACCCTTAGCCAAAAAATAAATAAATACCTTATAAGGTATTTCTTATGCTCTAATGGCGTTAAAAAAATCTTATTTTTTCAGGCTAGACCAGCCAATGCGCATGCGCAGTCATAACACGCTTATGACTGCGCATGCGCATTGGCTGGTCTAGCCTCAGGTTTCTATGGGAGCCAGAGCTTCTAACGGCCGCTGCAGTGACGCAAGGACTTTACCAATCGGCAATTGGCTCTTTCACTTAGAATGCGGGACTATTCCGCCATATTGCGCATTGCCGTTTCTCCCATTCAAAAGTATAGGAGTGAACTGTCTTTGTATTTCTGTAGTCTTTGCTATACTTCAGTTCTTTGAACCACGTTTTTGGTGAAAGATTGTTTCAATGAAGGTTCAATGTTGGCCACAGCACTTGAAAGTGAGACTTTTTTTTTTTTTTTTTTTTTTTACATGTAAACAGCTATAAAGCCCGTTATAGATTTTGTGGAAAAGGAACGCATCATTGCAAAGCAATATATAACTCCAGAATCAAGATGAAGGAGTGTCAGCAGAAGATGAATACTAAAAAATTACTTTATTAACAACACAAAATAGCCTGCTTAAGATATGTCCAGTATTTTCCATGTAACATGAAAAATATGCACTGTCACATTCGGGGATTCAACCACCATGTTTTAGAACTCCTTAGGCGCGTTTCCATTACAGATTTGCGCAAAACTTTGGCGATATTTTATAAATGTCGATAAAAAAGTATTGCGAAATGACGGCGTTTCCATTAACCAATGTTATGCGACTAAAACGTAACCTTTTGCCTCTCGCGATAAGTCATGGCAACGGATTTTGGCTATATTTATTCAAAGGAGGCTTATGCGTGTATCTTTACAGAAGCAGCAAAGAGAGCCGCTTCAGAAACGTGCGTGGCGCGGCTGGAATAAACCATAGCCTGCATACAAATATAAACACAAGCACTGAGTGGCCGCAATCAGCTTCAGTGACCGTATCAGAGCCACACTGCACCGCAGACGTGTGCAGTGTAAATTGTCTAAGCATTAATGGTAGGGAAAGCCCCTTAAACTGGAGCGCGGCCACTTATGAAGTGTTTCTGGGAGGTTATAGTAAGTTGAAGAATGATCATATGACTTTTTACATACGCCATGTGACCTGTAAATGCGAAAAAGCCGTTTCCATTGCAGTTTTGCGAATTATTCCTTTTTCGCATTGCCTGAAAACCTCCTCATGCGAGCGTAAAAACTTTTTTGCGATATATGGGAGTTTTTGCGAAATTGACGCGTTTAGGCGTATTTTCAATTCGCAGTTTCAATTTGCGCAATTTGAAGGGTAATGGAAACGCGCCTACTGTGATCAAGAACTTTTTTTGAAAGAAGAGCAATGAACAAACTCATCAGCATCTTGTGGAACCTTGCAAGGAAAAATGCAACAAATGGATAGAGTATGTGGTATGTGGCCAGTGCTGGTCGATATGATTTGTGTAAAACAAGAATGCATTCTACAAACTGAGGTAAAACAGCAGATATACCCAGTCAGGTCTTGAATGATGGTGCATTTAATCGGCATCCAAGGATCAGCTAGGCCAGTGTTTCCCACTAAACCACACAACATCGCCACAATACGAGAGATGGCAGGTTGGTAGCTATTAATAGGCTACACCTACATTTTACCAGAGTCAATGAAGTTGGTGGTGATGTCCAACCTTTTTTTTTTTTTTTAAAGAGTCGCAATCTTCTTCCTGTTGGCTACATAAAACAGAAAGAAAACCTACTATCAAAAGTTATGCCCATTACTTTAGAATATATTACCTTTTTGATATAGGCCTATTAACTTTTTTTACGGAAGTAAATTCTTGTCAAAAAAACTGATGCATGTGTAGATTATCCTCCCCTTCACATCTGTCACAATATTTTTGATTTATGTTTTATCTTTGCTGTTTAAATAAACCAAAGATTTAGCATATTTCAGCAGGGCATCTTGCTTTATTCATATTTTATTTATTAATTTCTTAAATAACCAAACTTCTACAACATAAGGGCAAATACCTATAGCGCAGCTGATGACCCTTTGAAGTGATGCTTGGGTGATCAATAATATTCAAATATACAAATTAATTTCATTGGATTCCTGCTTCCTCATTTCTTTTATTTCTTGCATCCTAAGGGTGTGTAGTTTCAGGATAATCTCAGCATAAGACACAAAATGAGAAACACTTTGGGAGTTTCAAAGTCATCATTTGATTGGTTAAATTCTGCAGGAATATAGAACTGTTTTGTTCTTTAACAGAATAACAGAAATATATAGAATTGCAGAATAACAGAAACAGAAAAAATACAGAGGTGTTTTAAAATATTTAATAAAATATTTATTGGAGGAAAAAATCATAAGCACTAAAAACACTTCCTCTCCATGGTTCAACATGAGCTCCTGTCTAACTCTGTCTTATATTTCATCTGGTTCGCACTGTGTGAATAACTTTTACTATTATTTTTAATGAGACCAGAAAGGCAAAACTTACGGTGACCGAGAAGTGCAAAACAAATCACAATTCTGAAAACGAAATAACAAATTACAAACGCAAATGCAAGTCTAAAAAACAAAATAACAATTCAGGAAGCACAACAACAATTCAGACAAACCAGAAAAGGTAGGCATAGTTTGAGACAGCGCCATTGGTTTGGGATTACTCACCGCTGACTGGATGGGACATCTGTCAATCAACGTATACAGGAAGAACCAGCCGAAGAACAGCAGAGTCATGGTAGAAAGTTCGGAGATGGTATTAAAGTAGCTCAGTTTAAATGTATTGTATGAATTGCCCTTACTATGGAATAAAAAATACAGCGTGTATATTTACATTTAGTTAAAAGTGGCTATAAAACATCAGCTCCAGTGGCGAAGATGGATAAGCCTGTGTCACTTACTTTTTGACGCGATCGACCCGGGATCGATCTGCCTTTTGCCGAACTTTTTTTTCCTCCCTTTTCAAATCTCGTATTAGCAATGGATTATATTTACACTAAGTGAAATTAGCAGTATTTTTTAGCAATATGCTATTTACACTAAGTGCAAATACCTATTTACACTATGTTAAAATAGCAGGATTTCTACTATCAAGTATACTACTTGTTGCAAATAGTGGCAATTATCTGCACTTCAGTATTGTAGTACATTATAAAACAGTATACAATAATAATGTATTGAGTGTAAATTATAATTTAAATTTAAATTATTAAATGGATGCCACCTTATTGGTACAATAAAGCCCTCCCTACACCTACCCTAACCCTACCCGATACTTTATTTTCAACTTTTTGATTATTTCCTTAATTTTTATTGAAAATAAATGCCTTTACGATGTGATACGAGATTTGAAAAGGCAGAAAAAAAAAGTTCGGCAAACCGAACGAGGGGTCGATCGCGTCAAAAAGCCAACGACACAGGCTTATCCATCTGCACCACTGGAGCTGATGTTTTACAGCCACTTTTAACTAAATGTAAATAGACACCCCGTATTTTTTATTCCATAGTAAGGGCAATTCATACAATACATTTAAACTGAGCTACTTTAATACCATCTCCAAACTTTCTACCACGACTCTGCTGTTCTTCGGCTGGTTCTTCCTGTATACATTGATTGACAGATATCTCGTCAAGTCAGCGGTGAGTAATCCCAAACCAATGGCGCTGTCTCAAACTATACCTACCTTTTTCGGATTGTCTGATTTGTCGTTGTGTTTTCTGACTTGTTATTTTGTTTTCGAATTTGTCATTGTGTTTTCTGACTTGTTATAATGTTTTCTGAATTGTTGTTGTGCTTTCTGAATTGTTATTTTGTTTTTTAGACTTGCATTTGCGATTGTAATTTGTTATTTTGTTTTCAGAATTGTGATTTGTTTAGCACTTCTCGGTCACCGTAAAAACATGCAATCGGACATAAACGTCATCGTGGCAATGTACAGTAGGTGGCGGTGATGCTCCAAAACAGCGAACGGCCATTCAACACGAAGAAGAACCTTGCGTTTTAACGAGAGATGAGTGTTTATCACATTGGTAAACCTAATAGACAATAAGGTTATATAGGTTTGCTTCTGTTCAATACATGATATTTGTATATTTGTTATGTACAAGTGAACATTTCTTCTTGGAAATGCACTGTATTGGAATTGTTAAGCGATAAATGTCCATATTATTGGAGGCAGGTAAGATTATGTTCACTGACATTTCATTTTTAAATATTATTATTAAGGTTAACGTTAACTGCACGGCACGCTTTCAGTTTTAATTAGATTTCTGCCACGGTATGATGTGCGAATTATTCCGTCAAGTATGTTTTTTTTCTTCTTCTTCATTGTTTGACTAGATTGTGATCATTGATGCCGGTTAACGTTGTTCGTTTAGATATTAATTTATAATCATTCTCTGCTGACTGAATACAGAAGTCTTCGAATCAGATGATACTCTATAATGAAATTATTATACTTATTTTAGATATTATAGATACTTTTTTAAAACATTTATACATTTGTTTACTATTTATTTATTTAAAATATAAACATTTACACTTATTGACATTTTAATACAGGGCAGTGGACCTCCAGGACCAGACTTGAAGAACCATCCAGTAGGATGACTGCGTTTTGTGTAGTCTTGCTTTACTTTATTTAAAACCTATTGTCTAAGATCTCCTGTCTTAGGCCATAGGTTGTGTAAAAAATGCTAAGGTGGTTTTCAGCAGATGAGTCCGGCTCTGCGCATGGAGTAAGTATTACACATGCTTTTGTTTAAATATCTCATAATGAAGATTGTTTTTCTGTGATGCATATGATCAGAAATCAGCCTTATATGTTTAGTGTGGGAATGTCTAGGAGTGAAGAGTGTCTTTTAATTTTAAATAATTGCAAATATGTCAGCATATTTATTTTGTGTGCAGCTGTGTGGTAAGCAAGTCACTCGGTTATAGCAAAATAAAACTCTTCAGGGTAATACGAGAACCCTCACCCCTTTACATAGTGCAATTCATAAATGTCCATCAGCATTAATAGATCCTTTGCTTTTCTCAGGCTCCTGGCTCCCCGCAGGTGGACATGGGCAGCGAAATGAGATTTGCTGAGGTCACTGAGCAGCTAACGCAGATGGAGGAACTTGTGGCCCATTTAAAAGAGTTGATCAGGGAAAAGGATGCAGCACTCAGCAGTAAAGATGACCAAGCCAAGGTATTTTACAGTTTACAAATATGCTTAAATGGTCAATGACGTTTTTTTTCTTTTTACATTTAGTTTAAAAAAAAATGCAGTACAATGTTAACATGCATTCATACATACAGTGAGTTTATTACATCACTATTTATGGCAAGCATGTATTCATGTATTTTCTCTTCCCAAATTCTCGATCACATTTTTATTTTTATACATTCAAATTTTTTGCAAATGAGATATTACTGGTCATATCCACCTTTTTCTGAACGAGGAAGTCTCGCCTAACTGGAACAGTGCTTTACATTTCTTGTCTCTGGTGTTTCTAGTCAAATTAACATATTTTCAGAGCCGGTAATATAACGTTAAACCTATGAAAATAGTTTTAAAAAGCACATGGCTCCAGAGTTTCATCACTTTAAAGTGTCGCAATGACCGTCTTTTTGCAGTAACTCGTCTGTCATAGTTTAATGAGTGCATAGATGACATGAAGCGACCCACGGTTAGCTGCATTGAAAACAGATGAGGGCACATATCCTACATACAGCTCAATCGGGGCGAAGTTTGTGTGATTTTGTCCACAAAATGATAAGAGCACACATTATTTTATTATTTCACACACAGTAACTTAAGCGCTGCAAGCCATGCAAACAGCGCCGGACACAGTCAGATTTGCTGGTGGTAAGTTACGCAAAACAAGTACAGGAATTTTAACATGGATTTCTATGGAGACCGGAACACGAGAGCACCCAAGCGTAAGTTGGAATCCATCATTGGTTACTCAGGGAAAAGGTGGATAGTGCATTCATACAGATAGTCTTGTCTTATGAGTTTCTGTCTTTATCTGACCTCACATTCAATAAAAAAAAATGTGTGCTTGTTAAGTAAGGTAAGGCACATCAAGTTTATTTTCACTGCACACCATCAAAATCTTGTGATTGTGAAGAACATAAAATTCACTTTCCGATCTTTTACAAATTTGCTTTGGAATGTGGGGAGAAGACATTAGACTAGAGAGAGAGGCTTTGTCCAGCCCTCTCAAAGTGCATAGCAGGATATAAAACATTTATCTTGGAAATGCAATTAAACTTGGCTTACTTCCAAACTTTTATGTCATTTCTATTTCTTTCCATGTTCTTGGACTTTAACTTATATTGCACTTTTACAAGTCTGCCTTCTGCATGCTGACAGTATTGCACATTGTGCTTTGTTCAGGGATAGATGTCATGTGACACATGACGCGGCTCTACTTAAAAAAATTGTATCCTCTTAACGTACATAAAGTAATTAAAATATCAGCCATTTACCAATGCAGTTTTACGCTAGACCATTATTTGCACAGATTGAACAAGTGTTGTTATTGAAAAGCAAATCATAATCATAAAAATTGCATCTAGTTTTTTTGTACTGTCCATTAAGCTGATTCACACAGTGTTTTTATTATTTACTTATATATTTTTTTTATTAAAATGTTTACGGGGTGAGAAAATAAAAACAACATTGGAACAGAAAGAAACGGGGAAAAAAGAGAAGTAATAATGAGAATAACGAAATATGTACTCCTTAATACATGGAATTATAATGAAAAAATCATAACTGAATTCACATGAATGATCTTCAAATGTTTCCATTTCCTTGGTTCTTATTATAGTATGTAGCTTCCTTTGTGATTGGTGTCTGTATGTTTGTGAACACATAAGGAAATAATTACAATATATAGTCAGTCCCTATTGCTTACAGTTCTCAGAGTTGATTTATGAAGTGAGTTGTGTGTGTTTGTTTGGTAGGAGCTGACAGAACAAATGCAGCGCTTGCGGGGTGAGAAAGAAAACTTTCAGTCAAAGCTGGAGGCAGAACGTCACATTACTCGGGCTCGGATCAAGGATCTGCTGGAGAAACATGAAGCAGAGCTGCTCAGTGCTGCTGATAAACATGAGACGGAGTTGTCAGAGAAGGAGCAGGCCTTACGCAGACAGCTTGAGACTCTTCAGCGCTCTATATCACAGCCCGCAGATGCATTAGCAAACCAATCCACCTGCATCACAGCTCAGAGAGTCACAGAGCTGCAAGGTAGACAATCATGTCACATGCTTAAAGTCCGTGTAACGAGAATTCTGAGAATTGTTTCTAAATACATTATAAATGTTAGAAATGTATTGCAGAAACCCATTACAAAGACTCTAAACTATGTAGTACTGAATTGTGGCATTAAACCGTTAAACAATTTTTCACCAATTCTGTATTCAGAATTTTTTGGGCGGGGCTAAAACGGTGGCTCGATGACGCAATGGAGCCACCGAGCATGGCCCCTCCCGTAACACTATAAGACGTGTGTTCGACTTGAAGCAGCACTGCGCAGATCGATCGGTGTGTGACATCAAAGTACAGAGCTATAGAGAGCAGACCGCTCCTCATGCTTTCGAATCGCTCTCGTGTCATACACTGGTCGTTCTGCACAGCCCTGCTTCAAGTCGAACACACCTAATAACTACAGCGCAGTGGTTTGCCCGCTCAATCGCGAGTTACTGCCGTTCATTACTACAGCCTAGACGTTGCTAGCTAGCTATGCCTTCGTCACGTAAATGAATAATACCTGGTTGCAGTAATTTACAAAACAGCTAAATCTCCTCATTTAAATAAGCTGCAGAGGAAGACAGTTGAGAGAGTGACGGCAGCTTTTCGTAGTGGGCGTGGTTTCAGCACCACCAGCAGACACTCCCCCAGCGTCTGAGAGCAGAGAATACTGCTTATTTTATTCACTTGGCGGGTTTTTCTTTAGCATTCAAATTTGGCTGGGTGGTTAATAACACATTTTTCTGTGGTGTGATAAACTCGGAACACACATTTAATATTGACTTTACACGGACTTTAAAGAATTTTGTCTGCAGTTTGACCTTCCTTTCTCAAATGATCTCAATGTTGGTTAAGCACCTGTCACAGTAAATTTTGTTTAAAGATCTATAAACTTTTATCTTAATGGATCACTTAATGTAGCAGTGTCTAATGTCTCCATTTAGGGCTGTGCCCTAAACTATACTGAACAAAATTATAAACGCAACACTTTTGTTTTTGCCCCCATTTTTCATGAGCTGAACTCAAAGATCTAAGACTTTTTCTATGTACACAAAAGGCCTATTTCTCTAAAATATAGTTCACAAATCTGTCTAAATCTGTGTTAGTGAGCACTTCTCCTTTGCCGAGATAATCCATCCACCTCACAGGTGTGCCTGTGTACAGCATGATTATTGCACAGGTGAGCATTAGGCTGGCCACAATAAAAGGCCACTCTAAAATGTGCAGTTTTATCACACAGCACAATGCCACAGATGTCGCAAATTTTGAGGGAGCGTGTAATTGGCATGCTGACTGCAGGAATGTCCACCAGAGCTGTTGCTGTCATCCTCATCGGGGTCTCAACCTGACTGCAGTTTGTCGTAACCGAATTGAGTGGGCAATTCGATGGCGTCTGGCACTTTGGAGAGGTGTTCTCCTCACGGATGAATGGCGTCGTGTGGGTGAGCGGTTTGCTGATGTCAACGTTGTGGATCGAGTGGCCCATGGTGGTGGTGGGGTTATGGTATGGGCAGGCGTATGTTATGGGCAACGAACACAGGTGCATTTTATTGATGGCATTTTGAATGCAGAGATACCGTGACGAGATCCTGAGGCCCATTGTTGTGCCATTCATCGACGACCATCACCTCATGTTGCAGCATGATAATGCACGGCCCCATGTTGCAAGGATCTGTACACAATTCCTGGAAGCTGAAAACATCCCAGTTCTTGCATGGCCAGCGTACTCACCGGACATGTCACCCATTGAGCATGTTTGGGATGCTCTGGATCGACGTATACGACAGCGTGTTCCAATATCCAGCAACTTCGCACTGCCATTGAAGAGGAGTGGACCAACATTCCACAGGCCACAATCAACAACCTGATCATCTCTATGTGAAGGAGATGTGTTGCACTGCGTGAGGCAAATGGTGGTCACACCAGATACTGACTGGTTTTCGGACCCCCCAATACAGTAAAACTGCACATTTTAGAGTGGCCTTTTATTGTGGCCAGCCTAAGGCACACTGTGCAATAATCATGCTATCTAATCAGCATCTTGATATGCCACACCTGTGAGGTGGATGGATTATCTCGGCAAAGGAGAAGTGCTCACTAACACAGATTTAGACCGATTTGTGAACAATATTTGAGAGAAATAGGCCTTTTGTGTACATAGAAAAAGTCTTAGATCTTTGAGTTCAGTTCATGAAAAATGGGGGCAAAAACAAAAGTGTTGCGTTTATAATTTTGTTCAGTGTAGTAATTTGTCATTTTTTTTAGGGAAAACACCACATTGTAAAATTAGGAAAGAAATCCGTATTTCTCTCTGCTTCCAGTATACTGTCCAAATTCATTTATTTAATTTACAGTTTCATGTAGCTCTAATCTGTTATAGAGCATTAAATATGTATAATTTATATTCCTATAAAGTTTATTCATGATTTTATCAAACAGCGCTGTGTTTCCCAAAAGCATCTTAAGCCCAAAATGATCGTAGCTTCATTGGTGACAATGGTTCTACAATCAACTTAAGCTTAGAATGCTTTTGGGAAATGCAGCCCAGTATGTTCATGATGATTAAAAGATTTTTAAAAAAGAGGTCCCACTTTATATTTGGTGTCTTAAAATAATATACTTAATAATATAATGAATTGTTAGGTACAATTCAATACAAACATTTTTGAATTTGCACTAAATTGTGTTGTGTTGTGATCTCATAGCCTTGTAGAGCCTAGTTCTTGATGTGAATGATGTCTATCTTACCAGTCATAAGGGCATAATAAATAAGCTTTCCATTGATGTATGGTTTGTTATGATAAGACAATATTTGGCCGAGATACAACTATTTGAAAATCTGGAATCAGAGGGTGCCAAAAAAAAATTCAAATATTGAGAAAATCGCCTTTAAAGTTGTCCAAATGAAGTCCTTAGCAATGCATATTACTAATCAAAAATTGTTATTTTTTTAAAAATATTTATGGTAGGTAATTTACAAAATATCTTCATGGAACATGATCTTTACTTAATATCCTAATGATTTTTGGCATTAAAAAAATGTTTACTCATACAATGTATTTTTGGCTATTGCTACAAATATACCCGTGCTACTTAAGACTGGTTATGTGGTCCAGGGTCACATATGTCATGTTTTACAAATGTAGCAGACACCTTCTTATAATGTGCCTACATGATAGTAAAAGGGTGTTTATTATTTTCAGTTAAAGATATTGTGTGTCCTGTCATTGTGTTTTTTTTTAACTCCGTGTCCTTCCTTCTCAGTGACTTTGTTTTAATATTTCAGTATGTTTTCTTCTGTCCAATTCAGCCCAAGTGAAGCTGAAAGAAGCAGAGGCCAATAAAGCAGAAGCAAAGTTCTTAAAAATGAAAGCATGGTCCAAATCTATGATCAGGCAGCTCGAGGAGGAACTCAAAAAAGTTAAGGTAAGAAAGTAGATTATTTTTCATTAGATTTGCCCAGATTAATATCCAGATAAATTAAACTAACTGCATTCTGTTTTTGACTTCAGTCTGGAGTATGTCTCAACATGTCCCCTGATGTCACGACCCTACATAGTCGCGTTACTGAATTGCAAGAGGAGAGAGAGGAAATGCTCAGCAAACTGGAGCTGTATGAAGACATGAAGTCAAAAAATGGTATGAAGAAGTGGAGCCAGTTAGTTTAAAATGTAAATTATTTGCATTTGGGATGGAAGTTTTATTTCTTTTTTCTATTCAAGCACTCGACAGATGCAGTAATTGCCCAAATTGATGTCTGTAGATGATATTTCTTAATATTTGCTTTTAATGACCCTACACAATTAAAATACATTGAAGAAGTAGGGATGCGCAATATTGGATTTTTGCCGATATCCGATATGCCAATATTTTTCATCTCATTTTGGCCAATGCCAATACCAATATATTTCCTTTTGTTTGGAATAGGGATGCATCGATCTGATACTCAGTATCGGTATCGGCTCCGATACTGCCATTTTCGGCCGGATCGGGTATCGGTCAGATGAGATCGATCCAAATCCGATATTGTGCGTATACTACTGTGTTATTGTTAAAGAGCAGGTCATATGGGTTTTTGAAAAATATCTCTTTTGCAGTTTATAACATAGCTATCCTTAAATGAAAACAATCTGCAAAGTTGTTAATCAAAAAAAGTTGTTTTGCATAATCCCCGCCTGCCCGCGAAATACGAACAGAGTCTGACCTGCCCACAAACACTTCCGCTAGTTAGTGTGTTTACATCATGTCGAGAAGACGCTGTGTTCAAGGATACCACAGAGATACATACCACAGAGATACAGATATTTGTTGTGTGCTTGTCATTTTATCGAGGACTGCTTCTCTAATCTTGGCTTTTATCTTCGTTGGCTTCTAATCTTCTTAATTTGGACTAACAAGCTCTCCAAACCACAACCTGCAAGTACGATTGATACGTTATGTGTACATTTTTAATTGTGCTAATGTGTGATGTATACCTAGTGCAGCTTTAGTTTTCCAGGTAAAGCACGATATTACTGTCTTACTGAAGTAGTTCTGATAATTCGCTGTAAACCCACTATTTCCTAAGAATGTGTCGATTAATGTAGACTGATGTTGTTCTAATTACTTCATTTAATAATAAAGAATGTAGTGTAGCACACAGACTTTATAATCATTGTGAAATTGCTGTTTATTTTGCTGCACTGGCAGCTATAGGGTTAATGCGGAAGAGACGAGCGAGTTAGTTAGGCTTGTGCACCGGTGGTACAGCTGTTCTGCGTTCTGATTAAAAGTTAAGACTGAACGTCTTTTGTCTGTCGTTCTTCAAACATTACAGTAGACATATTTTGGTTTACAAACGGTATTGTTTCATCAGTTTGTCACGTTATCACTCGGCTAACGTATCCACCATTATTGTTTTAAGTGTTCACAGTTTAGCAGCTAAACTTGAGCTGTGGGCACGATTCGCTTACATAAGTGTTTTTGTATTTTATGTCATTATTATAAGAACGGATTGGAGCTATATATTATTGTTTTATGTAGAGGTGCTTTGCCAATGGTGCTCGGTAACTTGCTCAAGTCAAGGACTCCTCTCTGTGCCAATCACAACAGGCGTGGCCAGCTGACCAATCAGAGCAGAGTAGGCTTATGGAAGGGAGGGATTTGCTCCGAACTTGCTCCGAAGTTATTCAACAGAAAATTACAATGTTTTCTGACCTTATCTGCATTTAAACCTGTTGTAGGGGACTCCAACACAATATTAGGACACTTTAAAATACCATATGACCTGCTCTTTAAGGCCCACGAAAGGCACACAAACATTATAAAGCACCATAAAGTTTTCGTGCACTATATTTTAAGTGTTCTGAAGCCGTTCCATAGTTTAATGTGAAGTAGAGATTAATATTTAAGTCAAGTTCACGTAAAGTCTTCTCCCCGCTGCATCTGTCTGTCCTCCTCCATTCAGCGTTCAAACTGCATGTCGTGTTCGGTTTACTACAGTCAAAACGATGAAACTCTCTTCAATAGTGCACAATAACTTAGATTTAAAACCGGTAAAAGAAAAGGCTCAATAAAATATCGCACAGATATAATACACTACCCATGATATCTCTTCCCTTTTTTATGCTGCGCGCTGCGCGCTGCGCGCTGTGCGCTGTGACTCCGTGTTGCTTCAAGCGCATCATTCTGCGCACGGGATGCGCATAAGCGCTTTGTGCCGCTGTGTATTGGCGCTATACCCTTTCCTATTATACTTTTGCGCAAAGAAAAATTATTAATAGTCTTTTTTGTTCTGTTCTATCATATGTTGCTGCCTTCATTACTGTGCTATGCATTTAAAGAAATGTATTTAAATTTTATAGTACATATATTAGGCTATTTGCTTTTCCTGAATGTATTTTACAACAATACAAAGAGCAATGTGTAAAATTTTTACCAGATTTAGTCATACACTTATTAACTTTTATTTGTTGGCCACTAAATAATGTTGCTTCACTAAATGTTTAGTTTAATGTTTTGTTTTTATATAATTATTGTGCACTCATGGTTTTTGTAGGATAACTTCTGCTGCTGAATTATCCACTAACCTAGATTATAAAGTAGTATAGTATTTTTTTTGTCATAGATTATGATTATATATTTTTTCATTAAAATGAAGTTGTCTATATTTAGTAGATTGTGTATAACACACACAAGAGTGATGCTCAAGTGAACACACAGAAGTATAGAAATTCTACATTGATTTAAAAAAAACTTCGCAGGTATCGGATCGCGTCTGTGCTGCCAGTAGTTTTCTGGAACTCTTCATCCTCTCCTAAGGAAATTCTGGCAGCACAGACGAGGCTGGCTCATGGAGTCCTGTCCTTCATCTGTTACTTTATCCTCCTTTTTCTGCCTTTTTCCACCTCCTCTGCTTGGCCTCACTGGCCAAGTCTCTGCTATAAAACAGACCTTTGTCCGCTGTCTATATGGTGTTTTAGTTTTTTATATGTCCAACATTATCACACCTCCGAATTATAAAGTTCTCATTTTCACACGGTAAAATTCTGTAATCATTTACTCATTAATTTACTGATTTTGAAAAATGTCTGAGCCCTTACTGAACAACAAGGGTGAATAACAAGTAAGTAAATGATGATAGAATTTAGTTTTGACAAAAAAAATGTGTTGTTTTTTTTGGCTGTACAGTGAAAGTCAGTGGGGACCAGTGTTGTTTTCTTTATATTTATTTTATTTTTGTGTTCTCTTGTTGTCTGTTGGTTTAAAAACCTAGTGCTCACTTATCTATTTACTCCCAAACTCCCCAAAATGACATCTTTATAATTAAACATTTTAAGGGAAATATTTAAAGGGGTCATATGACGTTGCTAAAAAAGACATTAGAAATACACATTCTTTTGTGTATTTAGTGTACTGAAATGTGTTTATGCGGTTTAAGGTAAAAAAAAAAACTATTTTCCACATACTGTACATTGTTTCTCTTCTATGCCCCTCCCCATTTTTACAAAGCTCATCGTCCTGAAAAGCGAGGTGTGCTGTGATTGGCCAGCTATCTAGTGTGTTGTGATTGGCCGAATTCCTCAAGCGTGTGACGGAAATGTTACGCCCCTTACCAAACTGTGATGCTGTGTCCTGGCGCGACGAGACAAAACCAATAAAACCCATTATAAACTAGGTTTGGGAATCGCAGGGTACTTCACGATACGATATGATTTACAATTAAATGGCTCACGATACGATAATATCACGATACAACGATTCTGCGACAATCGATATATTGCTAGATAATTCTATAATGATACATCATGATATGTCTAATAGGGGTGGAACAGTTCACGGAAATTATACGACTGATAGACTGCAACGGTGTGAGTTAAAAATCATCAAATGTGTTCTACTACTGAAGAAAAAAAGTCACCTACATCTTGGATGCCCTGGGGGTCAGCAGATAAACATCAAATTTTCATTTTTGGGTAAACTATCCCTTTAATTACTCTCATGTCGTTCCAGACTTGTAAGACCTCTGTTCATCTTTGGAACACAAATTAAGAAAGCCAGTACCACGACGCATGCGTGTACATTCTTCTGCTTGCAAACAAGCTGCTTCGCAACCGGGATCTCCGTCTGAATGCCGGCTCCTGCGTCAGCAACACCACATGCATGCATCAAGTTACACTCGTGAATGTGCATCGAAGTCCGACACGGAAGAGAAGAAATTGTGGAATAAAGTTTTTTTATGTTGTTGTTGTGTTTTCCTTGCTCACAGAAAGTATTCTCGTAGCTTCATAAAATTACAGTTGAACCACTGATTTCACATGGACTTTTTTAACAATGTCCTTACTATGTTTCTGGGCCTTGAATGTGGTAGTTCCGTTGCTGTCCATCCAGGGTCAGATTTCATCAAAAATATCTTAATTTCTGTTCTGAAGATGAACAAAGGTGTTTTGGGTTTGGAACAACATGAGGGTGAGTTGTTTCTCAAACACCGGCAACAACAATAATTTTTGTGTGAACTAAGCCTTTAAGAAAAACAGAATGGGGTCGATTGTGCTCTAAATTAAGGATAATGATCGAAGTGATCACTTACCTTTCTCACCTTATTGATGTTGTTCCAGATGTGCTCACCCAATTGTGATGCAATTGTCTAGACTGATTTCTTACTGAATCATAATTGTAGTCATGTACTACTACTTTGTTCAGGGTGTCCCACTTTCGCTTGCGTGCTGTAGTTGATTGAAAGACACTTCAGGTGGTAATACCCATTTATTGCTGAGACCAAGGTGAATTGTTATAATTTCGAAAAATAATCCTCAAAAAGCTGTTTATCGCTGTAGTTTGCACTGTAATAATCATTATGGCTTACATAGGTCTTGCGTATTTTAGTCTTCTGGTCCACAGTCCACAGAAGCTGAATTTGCAATGTGTGCTGCTACCTGCTGCTTTCCGGTCCTTTTCCGCTCTCTAATCTGCACTAGAAATACCTGACTGTCTCTCCTCAATCCTGATTTCGTATTCTGCTCTCCATTGCCCTAAACATATTTGATCCATTACCTTTGTCTTGTGGCACAAAACTGATTGAGGATGACTGGTTGTTTCCTGGCTGCTCCGATCCAGCATTAGCCAATCGGCAACAGGAAGTGGAGGAGGAGTTGGCCCAGGCCCGTGGACTCTGCCCACAGAAAAGCAGAAAGCCCAAATATTTCACCCCACGCAGCCTGCAGGTATGAACTAAAGTCTCTAGGTAAATTGCATACAGATGAGTGAAAAATTTAAGGAAAAATTTCTTAGTAAGGTGTTAGGTCACCATGTGCTGCCAGATCAGCTTCAGTGCACCTTGATATTAATTCTAAAAATTGGATTACTTCTTACTGTAGCAGTGGAACTCCACTCTTCCAAAAGATATACCCGCAACTGATGTTTGAATAATGATTGTGTCTAACAAGCAAGTTCAGAAGCTCCTTTTAATTGGCTTACAATGTGGTAACTGCAAAGGCGATTGCATATGTTTCACATAATTTTCATGCTCTTCAAGCTGTACAGTGAACGGGTGCCCTGTGAACGGGCCTATAGCCACTCCCACAGCGAGTCCCCTTGAGTTTTTGCTTTAATTTCTCACCAAACTGTATTTAGTACCTTTACCTGTTTTATTTTATTTAAATATTTTTTTTGCTGTGTTGCAAAGTTTAATTAAAAGAATAGATTAGTCAGAAATGAGTCAAAGTAATTTACTTTATAAATGTCATACTATAAATGAGTCATTACTCATTTACAAAGCCCTCATATCATTTCAGACTATGACTTTTTTCCTTCAAACACAAAGTAGACCCTTAGCCCTCAGTTGCCAGTCTCTAATTTCACTAAGACATGCATTACATTCAAACATGTTGTGTAAAGAAGATGCACTAAGGGCTGTCAGTGTAGTCAAAGGCTATTACTTTTCACATGTTTTGTAACTGATCTTAAATTTGAAGTTTGAAGATGTTGAAAAATACAAGAAAGCCATGCAGGTTTGGAAGGACATGAGGGTGAGTCATTTATTATTTTTTTATTTTTGTTGTCCTGATTTGCAGATTTGTGGGGTTTTTTTACTACTCATTTGAAGCATTTTTATTTATTTTATATATATATATTTTAGCTACAATATATATATATATATATATGTTTTATTTATTTTTTATTTTTTTAAGAAGTGATGTATTGTAGTAGTAGTAATAATAATAATACTAATAATAATGCATGTTCTTTATTTCTTTCTACAGGAGGACTTGGAATTTCATAGTAGGCAAGACCCAATAGGCCCCACTGATTGCGATGTTCTTGTGAATGGAGAGAACATGGGTGGATGGTGGCCACAGCACAGTGCTGCAGATACAGGTGTGAAACCCATTAGACACTGTCCATGTTCTAAATGTTTGCCATGTGCAGTTTTTGAGTCATGTGCACTTCACTTGAGTGTGATGATCTCCATCTTTATTTATCTCTGTGCACCAAATAAGAATGGTTGTCCAAGTTGGTCATATTAAGAAATATGTAAATTGGAAGGGATTTATCATCTGATTATCTGAAGGTTATTGAGATTCTAGTCAACTGTAAACCCTTCTGTATCAATACAAAGAAGACATAACTGTTATAATAAAATAATTGTAATAACAGAACAGCTAATAACAACAACTACTAAATAGTAATAAAATACTAGGGTAAATCCAAGTGTAAAGTGGATAATAAAATAAAGTGCATAGAATGAAAAGTGCAAGTAACATTATCTTATTACATGCAGGGCTTGACATTAACACCCGCCAACCCACCAAATGCGGGTGGATTTCAGCAGTGGTGGGTAATATAATCAGTCCCACTAGCCACTTTGGCGGGTTGAATGTTATATAGCCTACAGTAACAGAGCTTGTTAGGACAAGTGGATTTTTGAAGGGGCAAGTGAAAGAGAATTTTACTTGCCCAACCGCTCAACTAATCGAGAATGATTCTGATTTTATTATATTCAGTTTAAATGGCAATTGATAATGAATAATCAACGGTAACAACGTCACACCAGTTGAGGCTCATGTAGCCTGTCTGTATGTAAAACATTCTCGTGGAGAAATCAGAACAAATGAACGCAACTGCACACAGAAGAAACATACTGTGGTAAAAATGTTACTTTTAAGTTTTTTATATTTATAACATAGCATAGTTAAGCGACATGACATGACCAAGAGAATGAAGTGTTCACTGAAAACTGCTATACAAAAGTTCAAATGAGTAGTTAATGTACATTTTAGTATTGTCAATGTTGACTGTTTTTGCTAGATTTGGTTAACAAAAATAGTTCCAAACAAAGATCACAGCAGAACAGCCGCGCATCTCTGAGCAACACAGCTGTGTTTTGTTACTGAATGATTCTGCGTTTTTTGAATTAATCATTTGAGTCAATGATTCAGTGATCTATTCATAAAGACAGGCATTTGTTTCATTCTTGAATCAACAAATTGTTTGAATGAATGCCTGTGAAGGTTGATGCCACCTTCTGGTGGTTTACTTTCATATTTAAAAGTAGCTTATCTTTGCATTTTTCCAACATTTTATATTTGCATATTTAAAAAAAAAAACTGATTTAAAGGGGTCATATGATGCGATTTCAGTTTTTCCTTTCTCTTTGGAGTGTTACAAGCTCTTGGTGCATAAAGAAGATCTGTAAAGTTGCAAAGACTAAAGTCTCAAATCCAAAGAGATATTCTTTATAAAAGTTAAGAGTCAGCCACACCTACCTAAACCTAAAACATATCTACCTCACTATCTGGGAAGATTTGCATAACGCCACCCAAATGTTCACACAAAGAAAGGACGTGAAGGCGCTGTGTGTTTCGTTGTGAAAGCAAAACTACTTTGTTTGGCCTTCCAAAAGAGGACGATATTTGGTTCGTCATGCCTGGAGCTGATCCGTGCTGGTTGCTGAGGTAATACAACAACTTTGCGCTGTGGATCGCCGGTTCGGCTTTCACCATGTACGAAGCGAAGTCCAGCCCGGGGTCGTCACATGTGGTTGCCGCAAGCCTCCTTCGTCGAAGCCGTTCTCAAGCCCACCGCCTCTGCTCACTCTAGCCCTCCGGCCGTTCCTCACTATAGCCCCCGGCCTCTGCTCACTCTAGGCCACCGCCGTGTGTGACGCTGTGTTTCGTTGTGAAAGCGAAACTACTTTGTTTGGTCTTCCAAAAGAGGACGATATCCGCTCAACGTGTAAAAAAAACAGTATGTCATTATAATCCATAATTATGTCCCCACTGGATGCAACGAATGCCTCGTTTATAATGGATTTTCATGTTTTTGAATCATCGCCCCGGCCTGACAGGGCATCATCACAATATGGTAAGGGGCGTAACATTTCCGTCACACGCTTGAGGTATTCAGCCAATCACAACGCACTGGATAGCTGGCCAATCACAGCACACCTTGCTTTTCAGACCGATGAGCTTTGTAAAAACGACGCGTTTCAGAACGGCGGGGCATAGAGGAGAAACAATAATGTACAGTATGTGGAAAATAATGTGTTTTTTTAACCTTAAACCGCATAAACACATTTCATTACACCAAATACACACAATAATGTTCTTTTTAGCAACATCATATGACCCCTTTAAAACACCAGTACCATTTCATGATTTATGCTCTTGTAATTTTGCAGTGTAAATGTATTCATGCTACATTTTAGCTTCATTAAACTGTCTGTGTAAATGCATCTAACGCCACTTCAGCTGCTTCTGTTTCTTCTGCAGTGAAAAGATAGCTTTTTGATTGGTAACAACAATATTGTCTTATTATATTAAGGGAAATTATTAATAAAATGTAAGAATTTGATATGAAAGATGATGCATGCATTTAATATGGTTGGGGGGGAAATGACCTTGAAATTGATTTTAAAAAATGTTAGTATGCAGTACTATGTAATTAATTTCCCAGCAACAAAATTGTGGCCAGTGAAAATAATTTTGGAAAACCACTTGCCACAGTGGCTGTTGAGCAAAAAAGTTCATGCCAAGCCCTGATTACACGGCTCTGTGGAATACTCGATTCTGATTGGTCAGACACCACATTCCGAGGTATGTTATTCCCTGATAACAACCGGTAAAAACAACTAAAACAGGCTCATTCGGGTAACTGCAGTTGGGGCTATTCGCTTACTGGGAACATTTTTTCTTCACGGAAGCTTTGCGTTTGGTTGGCTAATGACATTTTAAAACTCAAATTGATAAATTAAGACACATGCCATTTCTTTTCACTTGTTTAGATGGCTTGAGGTCTGTTGTTGAAGAGCTTGAACTAGAGAGAAACCAACTGCAGGAACAGATTTTGGTCCTTGAGAAACAGTGCCAAGATCTAGAGGACCGTCTGCAACTTCAGGCTCGCATTGAATTGCTACAGGTACACAGAAACTGTTTGGACTACGTATAACGGCGCTATCAATACCAGCCTCTGCAGTTACACTGCTTGCCAACTGACCCTTTGCTAAGCCTGCACCCTCACTTATTGCAGCTGTCAGTCACTAAATTATTGTATTGGATTGCCTCAGGAATCATTAGATATAGTGGAAATGAATCAGGCCTAGTCACTTTATTTACCTTCCTATAATCTGCACAGAAGCCTATTTTTTTCCATCAAAAACTATCTATAATCCAACAAATGAGTCAACATAACATTTTTTAAGGGGTGGTTGATTGCGATTTCACTTTTTTAACGTTAGTGTGTAATGTTGCTGGTAAACAATATCTGCAAAGTTACGACGCTGAAAGTTCAATGCAAACGGAGATATACCGTCTTTTAAAATTATGGCAGTTTAATGCTTACAAAAATGGCTTGTAGGGACTACAATGAGCTTCTTCCCGGGTTGGTGACATCACAAACCCTGAAATTTACATAAATCCTGCCCCCGGGAACATGCAACAAAGGGGGCGAGGCCATGTTGCGCTGCTTTAGAGAAAGGAAGAGTTGTTGCCATGCCGTCAAAACTAGGGGTGCACGAAAAAATCTATTCATATATGAATAGCGATTCTGTATTCTAACGATTCTAATGGATTCACAAGTTTCAAAATCAGTGTTCTAAAGCAGCGGTTCTTAATCCTGTTCCTTGTGTCCCCCTGCTCTGCACACACTCTGCTCTGCATCTCTCTCTCTCTCTCTCACCTGATCATCAGCTCCAGGCCTCCAATAAACTGTGTTCCAGTTATACACTTTGTGTATAGACAGATATTTTTCACATAACTACGAGAAGCGTTAAACATGGACGCGCATGTGGTTGGCGTGCTGTATTAAAGCTTTAATCAGGATAAAACCGTATATTAAAAGCTAGCAACAACAAACAAAAAAACATACCGTTAAGAGCCATGTGCTTGCACAGGTTCTGCGTGATCCTCTTCACTAATATCCTCTGCATCTCATTCGGGCTCAAATTGATAAGAAATATTGATGACGCCATTGTTTACAATACAACACAGGAGCACATGCCACTTAGGTGAGGGGCGTGATGCTTAGACGCACACTAGGCGGTTTAACGAATCACAACACATTGGGCCAGCTAACCAATCTGAGCCCATTGCATATTTCTGAGGGAGGGGCTTCATAAAAACAGGAAATCATTGGAGCGTTCAAAGGAGAAGGGACATAGTGGTGTATAATAAAGGTAATTATGTGAAAATGATGATGTGATTAGGACACATGTTAGACTGCACCCCATGAACCCAATCAAGCCTATAAAAAAACAGTCAACCACCCCTTTAGACATTATATAGATATTTTTGGGCCGCTAAAGCCTTACCTATAACTAACCATAACAATTTCTGAAAAATATTGTTAGTGAAAGAAAATTTTAAAAACCTAGGTGTGATTAATTGTCTTAAAAAATACAGCTATGAAGTAGTTCCAAATCTGTTGACCGTGTTACAGTTCTATATCACTTGGCCAAATAATTTCTACTACTGTATTACAAAGGCCATTCAAAGATACTGACCAACCAAACAAAATGACAATTTCCATAATTTCCCTGCTAATAACTGCATGTCTATGGCTCAAGCCTCTGTTACTAGATCTATAAGCTTTTTGAATTGGCAACGAAAGATGAGGATGGGATGCATAAGAAAGTAATTCTACTATCAAGAATGTTTTAGTGACAAAAACTGGACAAATGTATTAAGGGAAAACAATTTAGACACATAAAATACAATAATAAACTTACAAAATCTAACAAAGTAATAGATTGTCAGCAAGAGTGGCCTCTGTATGATTTGTCACTAATATTTTTAAGGTGCTGGGGCTTATCAAAAGGTCAGTTTTAGCTGTTTCCAAAAAAAAAAAAAAAATGCTAAGTGATGCAAGTCTTTAATTTTTCTTTAATTGTAGGGAAAACAAATATATTTTTGACAGTGTGAATCATGTAAAATCTCGCAATGAGTGTTGGATAGCCAGTTAATGAACTGTATATTGGTTGATCTATATGCAACACTCCTCTAACACAGGCAACGTTTGGTATAGATGAAGGAGGTCGAGCATTTTCCCTATCTCAGGTTTGTTTGTTTGTGTAAGCTTCCAAAAGCACATCTGAGCGTGGAAACTTCTCTTTGTACTATACTTATCACTGTTTCTACTAGAGCCTGACCGATATATTGTTTTGCCGATATATCGGTATCGGCGAATATGCCGCTGATATGAACTTTTACAGAACATATAACGCCGATAAAATGCTTGAAATGGTGTAATTATTTAGTTTGTCCAGCAGAGCACACGCCATTGTTTGCTACTGGCGACCTGGATGAAAAGCTTTAAAGCTTAAGTCTATGGCCATATCGCTGCAACGACGTGGCGAATCCGCACCAAATTTGGGGGATCCCTTCAGCTCGAGGAACCCTCTCGAACGCTAATCGAGTGTACGTCTAGAGGCCCGCTTTCGAATGAGACCACCCCCGAGTTGATAGCCCCCGGGGTTCGGGAGTTATGGGTGGTTAAATAATTAACGAAGTGGACTTCACATGAAATTCCGCCATGATTACAGTTCCAAGGGAACGTACATGTTACATTCAAAGGGCATTAAAGTGCACGAGACGTGAATTTATATTGTATTTATCGGAATTATTATTATTGTATCTGCCTTTTTTAACTCCCTAATATCGGTATCGGCCCCAAAAAACCCGTATCGGTCGGGCTCTAGTTTCTACTGTTTTAACACTGTCCTCTTCACACTATAAATAAGAGTGCAGTTCACACAGGGTGTGTCAACAGTGGTTTTTAACCGTTTGAGTTAAGCTAGGGCTGCATAAGTAGTCAAAAAATATCATTGTAATTACATATATGGCTGCCAGGACTATGCAATTGTAAAAAGAAACCATTATTGCCAGGGATGCACATAAGTGATTAGTAATGCACTAGGTAAATAAGTTCAGACTGCTCCTTTGCATACCGAAATGGTTGACAGATCACCATGTTGTGCATTAACTGTATGAGATTTACATTCAAACTGAAAGCATAAATCTAGGCTATGCACTGCCCATTTCAGAGCAAAAAGCCTTATTGCTTCACTTGACAGCGCTAAAATCAGCAGAGCATATACTTACTTGCCAGCAAACATATTTTATTGGACTGTACAGCTTTTAATGTACAGAGAAAACTATTTTATGAAGTGAACTCATTTAAAGAGTTATTTAGTAAAATTTTGTCAGGAAAAGTCACGTTAATGTAAAAAATCTTGTGTGATATAACATGTTTGTTTGCTGGATTTTATTGTATTTATTATACTTGTATTTTTTAAATAGTTTTTGCCATGAAAATAGCCTTTGATGTTGACATGGCATTAAATAAATATATACTATACTATACTATACTTGCCAGCAACCCGTCAAAATAAAAGCTTGCTGAGTTTAGGTTTGAAGATGATGAAAATATATATTTAAAGTAAAGAAATAAAAGGAACTGAAAATGTGAATACATTGCATTTTCCAGTGTACTATAAAATAATTGTACTTTTATTTAATACTCACTTTCTATTTTAAAATATAATGGTATTATCACACTTTATTTTTTTATTAAAAAAATGAAATAAAGTGCAATAATGCTATTATTAATTTATTTTTTATAGTAGGTCACACTATGCTCAGGGTGATCACCAAACCAAATCTTCAGGTGCTCTGATGAGAACCAGACCGAGAAACTTATGTGTATCCCTGACTATACTATAGCACGATATTGACATGTACTCCAGTTGCATCAAAAGATTAATGTTGCAGTGCATGTATCCCATTTTTAGGAGTTTTTGTGAGAGTGCAGGACTGAGTCAGTGAGCTGACACTTCCAGCATACAATTTATTCATAATTTGATTTTCTTTTTTTTTTTTTTATTGTGCTAAGACAGAGGCACCAAACTCAGTTCCTGGAGGGCCGCAGCCATGCAGAATTTAGCTTCAACCTCAAACGCACCTGATTCAGCTAATTAAGTCTTTCAAATTTTAAAAACCACAGGAATGAATGAGTGTTGGAGCAGGGTCGGAGGTAAACAGCAGCTGGAATAATTCAAGTGAGCATTTCATTGACTAGTGGTCATGATTTAAAGGGGTCATATGATGCGATTTAAATTTTTCCTTTCTCTTTGAGTGTTACAAGCTCTTGGTGCATAAAGAAGATCTGTAAAGTTGCAAAGACTAAAGTCTCAAATCCAAAGAGATTTTCTTTATAAAATTAAAAAGAGTCAGCCACGCCTCCCTAAAACGGCTCGTTCTAACATGCCCCCACATATCTACATCACTATGTGGCAAGATTTGCATAACGCCGCCCAAATGTTCATGCAAAGAGAGAAGGCCTAACTTTTATTCTAACTGTAGTATTGTTGCTGCCGCCATGTTGTGAATGCGCTGTGTGATTCGTTGTGAATGCGAAACTACTTTGTTTGGCCTTTCAAAAATGGACACGACTATAAATCAGTGGTTAAGTTGTATTTACAACACTGTTCCAGAACACTTCAACCCAAATATTCAGATGTGTGCAGCACATTTTATGTTGGACTGTTTACTGATCCTGGTAGAGTAGACTACAATGCCGGCATTTCTGTATTGCATTAGTTTGGAATATTTCTCATGGGCATTTAATAATTTTTGACTTTGTAGTGTGAGTTAAATCTTTTTTGTTTGGCACATTTTACCCGTAAATGGAAACCTGCTTAATTATTATGCACACCTGTGTATAAGGCATTTTTCACTCCCAGCCATTGTTAACAATTACACATCACTTATAAATGATTGTTGTTATAAATGATTGAATATAAAACAGTAGGTATTACATTTGATGTGGTTTGGAATGAGTAAATTGTACTTGGGGGGGGGGGGGGGAAAATTATGCATGCACTGTAATAACAATGTTTAAAAAAAAAATCTGGGTTAGAGTAATACCCTTACAATGGAGGTGAATTGGGTCACATTTTGGAGGATATAAGGTCATCCATTAACCATTGAATTGGACAAGGTCCAAAATGCAACAGTATGAAAACAAATAGGTCTAAAACATCATTACTTAAAGGGGCTATGTGTAAGAATGTTCATGTGTCTTATCACTTTTTGTATTGCCGATGTAACAAAACTTAAATACAAGACCTTCCCTGACATTTTAGGTTGTCTCTGAAAGCCTGTAGGCAGATTTTTATTTTTGAAGGACTTGGGATATTTAGCTGGGAAAATCAAAAGCATGTGATGTTTACACACATTCCAGAGAGTCTCTCTTCTATTCAGTGACATGAAATGAATGCTTATGCAGTGTTCAGGGTAATGCCAAAAGAGCTACTCTGTACTATAATGTCAATGTGACATGCAAAGAAAATGGGTTAATAGTCTCACATAGCCAGATCTATATAGTCTATAGCCTCATATATACTTGCAATCCAACTATCATAACAGTGTAATCTGTTGACATGATACCAGAGCTTGTGCAAACATTTACACATCACTTTGCTCAGATGTTTTATAACTGCTTCTTTCTCACCGCTGTCATTTTTATTGTGTTTGTTTTGTTATTGAGAAGAGAGAATACATATGCGTGAACACATTGTGTGCACAAGCTTGAGCATGAAGAACAAGTTGCTGGCTGCAATTCATTTAACAGCCACAGGTACCGCTAAGGTATCACTAACTCTACATATAGCCCCTTTAAGTTGACCAAGACAGGATCTGATTCTTTTTTTTTTTTCAGAGACAGGGACAGTGTAAATGTAAAAAGAACTGGGCACTTTTTCATTTGGTACAACTCTTGGACCATGTCAAAGGTTCTGAGTTTGGTTCTTTTAAAGAGGATTTGAGTGTGAAAACACCCTTAATGTACCGATGCATAAAATGACAGCAAACTAGTTTCCAGCTTGTTTTTGATGTGTATTAGTTGGTATTCTTACAGTATTTGAGGGCAATAATCAGCAATTCTGATTTTTGTCATCATCATGCAGCCCTAGGTTAAGCACACATTTATCTATAACGACATGACACGCAGTTGGGCCGTGTGGTGGATTTTCGCTATTTTGCTTGAATTGCTGTTATGATCTGTCATCTTCCTATCCATCAGAATGAATCTGAGCGCCTGCAGGCACAGGTTGCCAACCTTCGCAGTCAGCAGATAAGAGACACAGAAAAGCATCAGCTACTCATTGCCAGCCTGAACAAACAACTCAAAGGGTAATTATTTAAAATTAGGTACTGGAGCCTAATTGCAGAAACATTCCAACTCAGATTCTTGTCTGTTTTGTAGCCATGGTAATCTCATTTATACACTGTGCTGTGTTTATAGCAGAAAAAAATTAATAAAATTTAACATATCTGTTGAATCAGACTGAGCAGCACACAGGAGTGTCTGGAGTCCTCGCTCATGGAAAAGGAGCACACGCTTGCCAGAACCTCAGAGAAACTGGAATTTATTGACAGTCTGAGAGAGGCTTTAGAAACAAAAGAAAAACAAAACCAAGAAACAACTGAAAAACTGCTTCAGACTGAACACAACGTGAGTAAATATGAACTGTATTGTAATATTGAGTACATATTTAACAAGATAACACATCTAGATGATTGGGCATACAGGTGCATCTCAATAAATTAGAATGTCGTGGAAAAGTTCATTTATTTCAGTAATTCAACTCAAATTGTTAAACTTGTGTATTAAATAAATTCAATGCACACAGACTGAAGTAGTTTACGTCTTTGGTTCTTTTAATTGTGATGACTCTTTTCAGATGAGCGCAAGTTTTCTAGGACCAGAAACCAAGGTCCTAGAGTCTGGAGGAAGGGTGGAGAAGCTCATAGCCCAAGTTGCTTGAAGTCCACTGTTAAGTTTCCACAGTCTGTGATGATTTGGGGTGCAATGTCATCTGCTGGTGTTGGTCCATTGTGTTTTTTGAAAACCAATGTCACTGCACCCGTTTACCAAGAAAGGTTGGAGCACTTCATGCTTCCTTCTGCTGACCAGCTTTTTGAAGATGCTGATTTCATTTTCCAGCAGGATTTGGCACCTGCCCACATTGCCAAAAGCACCAAAAGTTGGTTAAATGACCATGGTGTTGGTGTGCTTGACTGGCCAGCAAACTCACCAGACCTGAACCCCATAGAGAATCTATGGGGTATTGTCAAGAGGAAAATAAGAAACAAGAGACCAAAAAATGCAGATGAGCTGAAGGCCACTGTCAAAGAAACCTGGGCTTCCATACCACCTCAGCAGTGCCACAAACTGATCACCTCCATGCCACGCCGAATTGAGGCAGTAATTAAAGCAAAAGGAGCCCCTACCAAGTATTGAGTACATGTACAGTAAATGAACATACTTTCCAGAAGGCCAACAATTCACTAAAAATGTTTTTTTATTGGTCTTATGAAGTATTCTAATTTGTTGAGACAGTGAATTGGTGGGTTTTTGTTAAATGTGAGATAAAATCATCACAATTAAAAGAACCAAAGACGTAAACTACTTCAGTCTGTGTGCATTGAATTTATTTAATACACAAGTTTCACAATTTGAGTTGAATTACTGAAATAAATGAACTTTTCCACGACATCCTAATTTATTGAGATGCACTTGTATATTAGGGATGCACCGATACCACTTTTTCCAGTACTCACCCTATATATATATATATGCACACACGCATACATACAGGGCTTCCGCAGGTCCTCAGAAATCTTAAATTTAGTTTTTATCAAATGTAAGGCCGTAATAAGTCTTAAATTGTCTTAAATAGTGTTAACTCTTTCCCCGCCAGTATTTTTGAAAAAAGTTGCCAGCCACCGCCAGCGATTTTGATGATTTTCACTCAAATTTGATGGCCTCCAGAATATTTTGCTGTATGAATATTTGAATATGCAATACACCAAAATAAAGATCAGAGCCTCTACTTTTAAACAAAAAAAATCCGTTTTATTCTAGCTTAAAGCATTCTTTTTTTTTATCAACACTTGAATATAGATAGGTTTCATAAAAATGCATAATTTTGAGCAAAAAGGTGAGAAAATGAAATTTTTATCAAAAACTACATCTGGGTAATATTCAGTACGATTATCAAAGCATAAATCCAGTAAATCGCTTCTATCAACACCTCCAAAGCTTGCACAGACATATACCACTTCCTGGATCAACATTTTACTCCGTAACATTATGCAGTTTTCATTTATATGCTGCCATTGCTGATGATCACATTATTTTTCATATGCATCTGTTTACATAAGAGATCGCTCGTTTCTCCGTCCTGTTCATGTGTGTTTTTGTTCGGGAGGTTTTGTACTCATTCAGACGATGTGTAATAGCGCCCCCTAGTGTATAACAGTGAAAACCCGAAAAGCCATAAAAACTTGTCTTGGGCGGGGAAGCGTTGTCTTCTAAAAGACGAGATAACTCGTCAATAGCGGGGAAAGAGTTAATTATGATTTCAAGAGGACTAAAATTTGAGGACAGAAAGACAAGAATTGCGATATGGCTTAATGTGACAAATAAACTTTTTAAAAGGCTTTGATTTCATTGAATAAATATAATTGCTACACGTTTTAAAGTCCGGTGCAGCGCTGCTTTGTGTACTGCGGGTACCGGGGAAACTGCTATACTTCTGCCGTTCTGAAAGCGCGACCTGCTGTCAGATGAATTATGCTTTTTTTCTATAAGCACGTCTGCTGTTTTTGTTCAGACTAATGTGAAAATTAACTCATTTTATTAAGAGAGTAAAATATATTTGTTATTTAATTAATATAATAATTGCTTGGTAATTGTTTAAATTAATGTAATAGTTCATAATTTGGCATCAGTTTTCTTAAAAAATGGTTTAAAGGCTGAAATGTGAAGTTTTTCATTCTATAATAATAATAATAATAATATATATATATATATATATATATAAGCATGTATATGCCGTATGCTTACTTTTTGCCCAGGGCTGTTTGCGTATTACAACTTGTCCGCAATCTACTGTCATGTTATCTTCCCCTTTAACTGTGTTTCATGCTGTTGTGTGAAGCTTGCGATTCTTTGTTGTAATTGGTGCATTATTACTTCTCGTGCTTAAGTATTGGTTGGTAAAATAAATTAAAGAACAAAACATATAAGGAGAAGTGACATAACTGAAAAAAACACACCCAAGGTGGCAGTGCAGCCATGACACGAAACAACTACTGTCGCATCTTACTAACAGCCGAGCCTCTGATACTAATTACAAAGCATAATTTTAGATCAAGTAATTGCACCGTTGCTATGCAGTTGATGTGAATGTGAATTACTGCATATGTGCAGCTTTCCTAACCTATTTTATTGATAGTCCCTTGCCCTTAAATGTCTTGTGTGAGAGAGAGACAGAAGCACTGACCACAGACTGGTGGTTGTAAAACTGATGCCAAGTGTAATAATAATCCATTTCAGGCCCGGTTCTACGGCATTGAAAGAAAGCAATAGCACCCTCAGGTGAAGCAATAATAATAGCATATTGACAAAAGATCTGGCAAGCTATCCAGTCCGTATTTGTTTTCTGTGAAGTGTCAAAGGTTCCTATTTACAACGTATTTTTGCAGCGTTGAGCAATTTCTCAATCGCAGACTGTTGATTTCTTGAATGCATATATATATATATATATATATATATATATATTAGGGATGTAACGGTACATGTATTCGTATTGAACCGTTCGGTACAAGGCTTTCGGTTCAGTACGCATTACAAACCGAATGATTTGTTGGACTAATCCTATGACATTTGGAAAATAAAAGAGCTTAAAGTGTGTGAAATATAATGTTCTCAGTCCCGCTGCGCTTAACTAGGCAGCCCAAACGACATAACAGGCAACGTGCTGTCTGCCCAGTGGCATAGCGGACGGGCACACAATAACCTCCCCTTGCTGGGTTGCTTCGAAAGACAATGATCTTGTATCGATGATAGCCAGAGATATTGTCAAAAACATCAATGTTTGGCAATATTAAGAGGATTTGGCATTTCTATCAGAAAGACTCCGAGAGAAGGTAAACGTTTACATGGTATTTATTCTGTAAAGTGTTAACGGATGGTGGTGAGTGAGTTAAAATAATTGGTGAATAGTTGTATAGAAAAATTATTTTGGCATAGGCCCCATCCTTTGTCCAAATCCTGGGGCCCGGTTCTACGGCGTTGAAAGAAAGCAATAGCACCCTCAGGTGAAGCAATAATAATAGCATATTGGCAAAAGATCTGGCAAGATTTGGCTGATACTAAAAATCGGTGAAATAAAAAGCTTAGCCTATATTTCAAGCACCGACTTTCAAAAACAACCTGTTTAACACAAAATACGTTTATTCTCATTTTTTTTCCACTATGTACAGGCCACAAGAGAAATATTAAGTGAATAAATGAAAACAGTTAGCTATATACCGTTATCAGCATATGCTGAAGTAGATTCGTCTCTCGTCGTCTCTGAGAGAATATGCGGCATCAGATGCCGAAAGCTCAGTCATTCCGTTTTTACTTTCACTTTCTGCATAGTGAGTTGACTGAGATTAAGACGTTCTCATTGCGCAAAGTTGCACATTGCTTGTGTGATATCCGTTGGCTCACCTTCATGGTTTAAAACAGAAATATTTCCAACACTGCGACGTAACCAATTACCCCCGTACCGAACCAAACTGTGACTTTTGTGAACCGTTACACCCCTAATATATATATATATATATTTAATATGAATAATGAAAATGAAACGATCAAGATGAAATTTTTATACACAGTCCCCCCCAATTTCAGGGGCTCAAATGTAATTAGACAAATAAATATAATCATAAATAAAATGTTCAATTTTGATATTTTGTTTATAATCCTTTGCAGGCAATGACTGCCTTAAGTCTGGAACTCATGGAAATAACGATGATGTAGAAATAATGAAGGAATAGCCCACGGCTGTCCATGAAACAGCTTTTGAGTCAATTGTCCAATTACTTATGGTCCCTTGAAAAGGGGGAAGTACATATTAAAGAGCTGTAATTCCTTAACCTGTCCTCGAATTTTAATGTTAATACCCTCAAATTAAAGATCAGAATGTGCACTTTAAGCCCACATTCATTATATAATGGTAACTTGAATATGTTTTGGTCAGCAGCTAAAATAATAAAAATTGTGCCCGTGTCCAAATATAACACCTCTTCACCACTCAAGTGAATGTAAATAATGTAATAAATATTGTGGGTATGTGATTTTTACAAGCGTTTTAGAGCTTTTTGCATTCAGTATCTATTTTAGTTTTTTAAACCATTTAGTCCAGACCCAAGAATCAACAGTGTCGCACATTTAAGAAAATGACACCGTATATGTGATTTATTGAATCACATATGAGTAATTGAGACTACCTTCCCATGCAGCTGGCTGAAGTTACAAAGACATGCAGCACCTTTGAGAAGGAAAACTCAGAGATGAAAGCAACTGTTGCAGAACTGACACTCAAACTCGGTGTGCTGAAAGACAAGGTAACATCTTATAGACATGATTGTTCACTGGCTCCCATGTCACATTTTTTTCCACAATTACATTTCGACAAAATAATTATTTATTTGATTAAGTTGATTAACACATCTTTACATTCCATTTTCTTGTTTCAGATCCAGAAACAAGAGACAACTATAGAATCATTGCAGAATGATCTGGTTCAAACAAACGATGATCTCGACAGACTGAACGCTGCACATCTGGAAGAAAGAGCACAACTGGTTCATGACTTGCAGAGATGTGAGCGTGAAATCGATAGACTTCAAGATGTCATCACTGATAAGGATAAAGATATATTGGCACTAACATCCAGTACAGCAGAATATTCAGAGCAAATTCATGAACTAAAACAGGAAATGAAGTTCAAAGAGAATGTGCTGACTAAAATTGAACAGGATGTTCAAATCTTTAGAGACCCACAGCTTTCTGACCAACAGTTCTTTAATGTCCTAATACCTCAGCTGATTGAGCAGTTGAAGAGAACTGAAACTGATCTAAAAGTATCAAAAAAAGACGTTGAGTCAAAGAGTAATGACATTAAAGACTTGACCAAGCAAACAGAAGAGCACAAGAAAACAATTCAGGATCTCCGCATGGAAATACAGAAGCTGAATATGAATCTCAAAGACCAGCTATTGGATAGAGAACAAGTGCATGAAAAAGACTCTTTCCTGGATGAACGTAATAAGTTGCTTGCTGAAGTCAGCAAACATGAAAGTGAGCTTTTAATGTTCTCTAGAAAACTTGAGGAGCAGGTTGAATGTCAAGAACAGCTTAAGAAAGATGTCCAAGATAAGTCAAAGATAATATCTGTATTGGAGGATAAGCTGAAGATTGTTCAAGAGGAGACAGTAGCTGAGAGAGATAGATTTAACAAAGAGCTTAGGATTCGAAATGAAGCCAAAGAAAACCTTGAGAAAGACTTGTCTGATAAAATTGAGCGTATTCAATCTGTGAATAATAACAATCAGAAACTTCAGGAATCGCTTGAGCAGACTTTGGGTGAGCTTGCAAGACAAAAGCAGCACCTGGATAATGCTAAGGAGCAAATGCAAGCTGTGCAAGATCAGAATTACAACTTGATTTTACAAGTCGAAAGTCTCACTAATGACAATTGTCAATTGAAGAGGGAAATTGAGGCTAGCGTCCAGTCCCTCTCTGATGTTTCAGAAGAAAAGAAAAGACTGGCAAGCAAAATATCTGAAGTTGAACAGCAGCTTTTAGAAAGTGTTAAAACAATAGAACACTTGCAAAGAGATAAGGAAGAGCTAACACTCAAAGGAAATGAATTGAACAAAGAACTTGAGCAAAACAAACAGTCAATGGCTAATATAATTTTAGAAAAAGATGGCATTGTTGGACTCCATGAGACATTGAGCAGGCAACATCAACAATTACAAGAAATGTTGGAAGAGAAACAAAAAGAAGTGCTTACACTAGCCCAAGTTATGTCTGAAATGAATAACAAGGTTGCAAAATCACTTGAAAAAAATTACAAACTTGATGAACAGAATAAGTACCTTCAGAAACAAACAAATGAACAGATGAAGTCACTCACAGAAACAATCAAGGAGAGGGAGAATCTACTAAACAAAATCTTGATTTTTGAAACACAAGATGTGGAAAACCGTAAAACCATGGAAGGCTTGCTTAAACAAAAGGAACATTTGCTTTTGCAAGTAGAGGAGCACGACAATATAGAAAAGAAACTGCAGTCTGGAGCTGAGACCTTGCAGGAAAAGTCTTTAGAATGTGCAGCCCTCTCAAAATGTCTCGGGGAGACCAAAGAGGAAGTAGATCATCTTAGGAGAGAACTTGAATCCACCACTTCTCAAGTCCTTCAATACAAACATATTGTTTTTGAAAAAGAAAAGACCTTAACAGACCAAAGTACACAAATGGAAGCTTATCAGCACCAACTCAAGCAATTGGAAGACAGTCTTTCTATTCTTCAAGAACAAGCTTGTAATTATAAATCAGGTCTGACAGAGAAAGACACACTGCTGCAGAAAGAATCTAATTCATGTCGTTTGCTACAAAACGAACTTGGTCATGAAAGAGAACTTGTTTTTATCCTTCAACAAGAGATGAGTTCTCTGAAAATGGAGTGTTCCAGACTGAACCAGACTTTGGAAGTGAAAGAGAGCACTTTAAGAGAGAAAAATCTTGAATGCCACAATCACTCAGATGAATTGTACAGAAGAAATGAGTCGGTGCTTTCTCTAACTAGTCAGCTTGGTATTATGAATGAAAATATTGTGAAGCTTGAATCTGATAATGCACATTTAAAAGGCACTTTAGAGGAGCATTTAGCAGAAAATATAAGATTAAAAGAGGAGCTCAGACAGGAACAAATAGAGGTTGTGGAATATCAAGATAATGTCCAGGCAATGAATGACCAAAACATTATAATTAAATCTGAACTGAAGAATTCAATGGCAGAAATATTTAGACAACAAGAGATGACCACATCCCTACGAAAGGAATTGGAAAGTAAAAGAGTCGAACTGGCATCTTTGGCAGAACAGTTAGAATCCAAACACTCTCAACTTGAAGCTTTACAACTTGCTCTGCAAGGGAAAGAGGACGTTTTCAGGACACAGGAGATGTCTGTAAATAAGATGCAAGTAAAACTTTTGGAAGGTGAAAGTCAAATCACCCAGAAAATAACAGTGATCTCTGAGCTACAGGTGCTGCAGTGCAGTGGTTCAGTAATCATTACTTTTTTGTGCTTTAATCGAAATGTTGGCGCTGCCACCAAACTTGACAGTGGGTACGGAAAGTATTCAGACCCCCTTAAATTTTTCATTCTTTGTTATATTGCAGCCATTTGCGAAAATCATTTAAGTTAATTTTTTTCCTCATTAATGTACACACAGCACCCCATATTGA